TTAAATCTACTATACCTTTGAATTTCTAGTTGGTTGTACATAAAGCCATCGATATTCCTACCCGATTGGTATCAATGAAGAACACTGTGTTATAAAGTTAAAGTTGTAGTTCATATAGCTAGTGGAAGATTGGTGACGACCTCCCCAATCGATTGAGAAGGTAAATTACGATTTTCGGGAAAATAGATGTAATCATTAACTATTTAATTTCTAGTTGGGAGTACATCAGCCATCGATATTCTTACCCGATTGGATTCCAAGGGTACTCAAATAGACCCTGTTTCAAAGTAAAAGTCATGACACATAGAAACAATGGAAGTTTGGTGACGGCCTACCCAATCAATTGAGAAGGTAAATCACGATTTTCGGGAAAATAGATGAAATAGAAAACAACTTATGATTTATGATGTGAGATTTATGTTGAAGAAAAGGATTTGAATTCGATACAATTCTATATAACTTTGTTTCATTACTTTATAGCTATTAGGTATTAGCAAACGATTTCTATTGGTTCATCATTTTGGATTATCATTATCTTTATAAATTAAACGTATAAATCATTAATCACTGATTGTGTGCCGGTTTGCGCGCAGTTTTTGAAAAATTGTGTATCAGATTTTATTTGTTTTTATTCTCAGCCTGAATTTTACAAGCCACTGAAAAAAAAGTTCAGTGGGAATAAATAGTAAGAGTGGCCTTCCATGCCAGAATCAAAGTGGTAACAGATTTAGAAGGAAAACTTATCACAGCCTATCCAGTGAATGAACAAAACAAATTATATCAAAGAAGCATGTTTCAAGTCAGCTTTTATTGCAATGCTGAGGGTAGATTTAATACAGATATAGCTCATTTCTATGAAATGATTAATATCAATTTATATTTTATTGATATCTGTCGATGTAAAGTGTATTTCTAATCTAGTTTATTTTCATTTTTATTTTTGTTGCTACTTTCAATTTGATATCTCTCTTCTACTCTCTTTTTCGTATTCTTGATTGTCTATGTAATGGTCAAAAGGAAAGATAGCATTATCGTCGAGGAAATTTGTGGGTGTTGCAAATTCCACTACATCACTTTCACCTATTTGTCCAATTGTTAGAGCATGCTCAGTATTCCCCATCAAGTGTGATTTCTAGGTGTCTCCATATTCAGAATTGTTCAAGTCGGCGAACTTAATAATCCTGCCAAGTTTCATACTTTTATCATTAATTTGAACAATTCTGACAATAACAGCTGTACTAAATGTCCTGGCTTTTTAAAAAGGCATATTTACTTTTATAGTTCTGTTTATAAGATATTGGTTTAAGATTCCTTTATTTTGTGTATTTGAAAGATCTACCTGTTAAAATGATCGAAAAAAGGATATTATTGTATATATATTTTATTTTAATTTGGAATCTTCTCATGAATTTGCTGATACCTGCACTATATTAATCTTTCATTATTATCGTCTTCATAATTTACAACCAACACAATTTCATTAACCCTACTAGAATTTCTAGTTGCAAGTATTTGAAATGAAATACTTATTAAAATGGATCACATCATAAGAAATCACTCACAACAGCATAATATCTATGTAGGCAGACGCCAAATTAATTTGCTTATTAATTTGACATTCAAATATTGTTTCCATTTCTCTGAACAACTACAATACTTGTGTCACTCTCTTTTCTGATCTCATCTACCCAAACACGTAATTCAAAATCAGTCATGATGGCAAAATTTGATCAACAACCAAACATCTTTTAGCAAAGTGGCCAAAAAGACCCATCATATATGAACACTTTTTTAACAATGATGTTCTCTAAGCATGCGAAAGTAGACTCCTCGTCTACTCAAAACATTTTTGAAAAACTTGAAGAAAGGAGAAAGAAACAGCTTCCCAAACAATCCAAGTTTACTCCCTGATTCAATCACACCAATCACCAAATAAGAAATGCATGTTTAATTTCTTTTAAAAGCTCTAGCTAGTCAACATAAGAAAGCCAAAATTATTCAACTAAAAATGCCTCCCAAAGTAAGCTTCTGTTACTTGTACAATTTTAACCTTAAATACAGAGTTTAAATGAGGATGAAAACGATGATTTAAAAATGGATTCTTTTTCCTTTTTTTCACAGTCACTCATTGCAATTTTTGAGAATTTTTGAGAATTTAAATTTCTGTCCACCTGAACAAGCTTTTGAAATTTGTTAACCAGGTCATAGGGTATAAAGAGAGACAGTGAGCTTTTCCATGTTTTAAAATATCTTCGAAACAGACTAGGACCAAAATTAGATGGTGGTTACTTTGTAAAAGTGCTTTCAAGTGGTTAAATTTTAACAAATCTAAAACTCCGGAATCTAAAATTTCAGGAATTGTTTCGCATTAGCATTGCCATTTCACCATAATCACTCAACTTGCTAACCATTA